ATATACGCACCTACATTCTACTCAATAATTACATTGTTCTCTGCGGCCAATTCAATTCTATTATAATACATCATAAAATGACATTTGATTTGATTTTGTCACAGACTTCGAACAAATACCAGATCAAACATCATGAAAAAGTTATTTCGCGCCATCAAAATCCTGGGTTTTAACCCACAAGAAAAAATTAAATTATACAACCAAACACAAAAGATTAAAACGCATATTTTTTAAGGCCGAGTTCTCGTTGTAATACAAGTACTTAACTTTCATTCGATTCTGTATTTTCAATAAAAAGTTCAATTTATTTTTTGTTAGCAGATGGATTTTAAGATTGAGCAAACACGAATCGTTTTAATTTTAGATACAAAACCATAAATCAATTTTATTTGAGTTATTGAAGTATCGTATTGGAAAAGTTGGGTTGTAAAGTTAAGTAATGGAATATTTTCTCTGGGGAAATATTTTATGAATAGTACTAAGATTTTAATACCATATGCGGGGTAAAGATTTATGTATATTTGGTTTGATAGATATAATATTTAAATATTCTAAACGTTCAAAAGTTTTTCTTTTCACCTAATACATAGATCAATTTTTGTTTAATTGCATGTACATATTGTCTAAGTAAGGAAAACTGGGTACGGTTGTGCCACTTTTCTATTTATCAGCGATAGTTTTGTTAATCTAAGAGTTAACTGAAATAAAATGAACTACTTAGCTGGGTAATTTGAATATTTTGCTTACGTGGAAATACTCAAACACTGTCATTAAATACGATGAATTTGTCATTAAATCAGAGTATACCAGAAAAGGGCGAGTGTCACACACCGTCCACAAGAGATTGAAACACAAAAGGAGATTAAAAAACAACATAATAATTTATACAAAGCTCAAGAATATAATATAACATCACACAACAAACCATAATTTTCAAATAAGAAAATTTTGTGAAAACTTTTATCTTGTATTGAATACATTCAAAGTGAGTCTGTATACAAGTAACGAGTATTATTAGAAGAAATCGAACGAAAAAACTTACTTTTTACTATTTAAAACCAATACAATGTAAAGATCGTGTTAATGTAGAGTGACTCAAAGCAATAATGGAAACTTGTTAGAACCAACGTACATCACCTTTCTCTTTTTAGACTCTATCTCAAAATCAGTATAGCTTACAATTAGTTGTTATGACGACTGTCATTACCGTACCCTGGCACAACCGTACCCAGTACCTATTAGATTAATTTCTCAGCATTCCAATTGCTCTCCACACAAACACAACTCGTTCTAGCTCAACATTTAAACTGATCACGATAATTCTTTATATACCTCAACGTGTGCTTTGCTAATGCACAAAGTGTTCTATGTGTTGGCGATATTGCATCCTTTGGATTTTTACCGTTTCCATACTGCCACAGACTGCCACAGACTTCCCATGTGTGTGCATTATGGCCGGACATTCTCCTGCGGCTACAAATCCCGAAAATCTCCAGGATATCCCGCAAGGAATATGTGATAACCGATTTACACGCTGACTTCTTACCGAACGAGCACAGGTGGGATAGTCCGGCTATTGGTTTGATGGAGACGATGGAGAAATCTATGTGAATTTAAAAAGTTACTTGAAAATCTTGTTACATAAAAACTAGTGATGCATGGTAACGTGCCTTAAAACTTAAAGAAATATCTAATATTTTTGAATGTTTGAAAAAAAAACTATTATGAAAATATTGATTTTTTTATAATTTGATTTTTTTATAAATGTTCAACATTTTTGCAAATCATTTGCGCTTCTTAGCTGTTTTATAAACGAAATTTCAAACATCGTTGCCATCAACAGCGTATATCAAATTTTTATATTGGAACAGAGCGATTATGGAATTGTTATGTAATTTGTAGGTAAACAACAGACAAAAAGAACTTTCTAAAGTTTTGTAGTATTCTGATTGATGATCGAAGATTTTTGTAATATACAAGGAAGCCGGTGCTTCCAAAGCATTTGTATATATTATTGTGAAGATTATTAATTTTGATTTAACTAAAAACGCTTAGTTAAACTCGATGAGAAAACCTTCGGGAAGGTTTGATGAAGTCTTATAATGCTAAATTAGCCCTAACGCGTAAGTAGTACTAAATTCTGCGATGGGCAGGGAACTAAATTTGATTTATAAGGTTGTTCGGAAAGTTACTTTGTTTTTTTTTCCACAGAAGGTTTAACTATCTTTTTTAAACGTAACATCACACTTAAGCCGTATAATTATAATATGTTTTGAAAGTTTATATTTTAAGGTCTGTGTGTAAGTAAATTCTAATCAATTATACGCAGTAGTTTTTGGAGGGTGCCACTTTGAATGCGGAAGGCATTAAGGAGCAATTTCGACATATTTTACTCTTTTGCTATATAAAAGGTAAAAATACTGTAAGTTTGTGAGTCAAAATGAAATTGATTGATGTGTATGGAAATGACGTGTTGATAGTACGACAGTACCAAAACTGGAATTTAAATTTATCAATTTTAACAGTTCATGACCACTTGAAAGCTCTGAGATTTTTCTCGAAGCTCAATGTATGGTTCTCAATTTCTCATTGAAAGAAACCTGTGTCATCGCATTGGCGTTCGCGATTCGCCTCTAAAAAGTCTTGAAAATCATCAGGTATTGAAGCAAATTGTTACTAGAAATATCAATGAGATGTAAGTAATGCAATACATGCAATTTCCCATAAAACATAAAGAAGAACCTACTCAAAACAGTTGTAAAGCTGAAATTTGCCTGAAAAGGCGATGCAGTATGTTTGGTGGAATTTTAAAGGAATTGTTTGTCTTTTAGCTTTTCCAGGATAACATAACAGATAATCCGGATGTTTTATGTCATCTGCTGGATAAACTAAATGATGTACTTCAATAGAAAAAGTCACAATTAACCCTCAAGCAAGGTATAGTATTGCATCAAGACGGCGCAAGACCTCACATAAGTTTGGTCTATCGCCAAAAGCTTTAACAGCCATAATGAGACCCAATTCATCATCGGACCATTGATTGTTCCGGTCACAAAAAATTTTAGACGGTAAAACCTTTACTTCACTTTGATCAGTTTTTTGCCAATAACGACCAAAAAAATTATGATCTCGACATTATGCTAACACCAAAAATATGATAAAGATGTTTGATCAAAACATCGAATACATAATTTATTAAAATAATGGTTTATTGTACAAAAATTACGTTTTATCTAATAAAATATCTATAATGAACGAAGTTACTTTCCGAACAACCCAATATTCCTCATCAGGTGTAATCGTTCAGAGGAAAAAATTTAATTGATGCCCAACGTACTATTAAATTATTTATTAAATTATAGCAGTATAAATAATGTCTGCCTATATACATGAATATGTAAACATGCTTCACCCCCTCCCTTTGTATACATATTATCCATAATATTTTCCTTAATGTGCTTTCGCTGCTAGTAAATTTATTCGTTTCCAATACAAAATGTTGTCGTCGTAAGGTATTTCGTTGCGGCGTCGGCGGGGTTGGCGGTGTCGGCGGTGTCGCCCTGTATTAGCATCTAATTTAAGATGAGTGCTTTTGTGTTCCGCAAGCCTCATTACGTGGAGGATCGATCCGGTACAGTATGGGTTCAGTATGGGTACAATACAATGCAAGCAGCAGCCCGACTGCCGGCTGCGGAAATTGGGAATACGTACGGACTCATCGACATTCTCAAATATTTTAGATGATATAGATAGAAGAGAGTAAACAAAGTACCATCGAGAAGATTTATACGGGATTGATATGTGCCATCAAAAACTGTCATTTTTAATTTCAATTAATTGAAATAAACTGTTAGCAAGTTAAAAGTTTGGTACACTACGTGGTACACCATCCTCGGCACCATTGGGCACACGACGTGTTTCCTAGACACATTATACACCGATTAAAATGACATTTTACAATTATGAATAGAAGTGCGTTTTCCAGTTATCAGACTCAGTAAATTCTGCACAGCCTTATATTAGATTTTTAACTTCCA